ATATATATATATATATATATATATATAGACAAAAAAACATTAGTAAACTTGAAAATATAAATATAAAATAAGAAAAGATAAAATTAAAAAGAAAGTAAAATAGAGAAATATAATTTAAATATTTTAAGAAATAGATGAAAAAATAAAAAATAGATAAAAATAAAAAAAATAAAATCTAAGAAAAACAGTGCTGTTATTATTAAGTTGTTCAATGTTTTAATCCAACAGAAAATATATATCCCACCATGAGTAAGTAGTTTTTTAACTAGTTGCTTTATACTGTTTTTGTAACACTTCACCTCATTAGTAAGATATTGTTTATTTTGATTCATGAACCTCATAAAATTATTTTTGACAGCCACATATGACCCCAAAACATGTTTTACTAGTCAAGGTGATCATCATCCTCATATAAAATCCATTCTCAAGTCCTCACCGTTCAATATAAGATATTATAATTCACTCCCTTATAAGAGTCCGATCACCTTGTCGGCACCACTAGACAGTTAATGAGCTGGGTTTTGATACGAGTGTAACACCCCACTTTATTGATAAGATATTATTCATTTTGACTCATGAGTCTCATGGATTTGTTCTTGATAGCTATGCATGGCCGGAAAACATATTTTTCTATTCAATGTAAGCATGCTTGTATAAAACTCTCTTTCAAGTTCTCACTAGCCGTTGTAAAATATTACAGTTTTTTACTTTTCGTTGTTTCTTATATTACAAAACTAAGATTTTAATTTTTTTCATCTTGTTTTTAAGAATATAAATTTTATTTTAGTTTTTTTAATCCTTTAACCTATTTATCATTTTCTTTAGCTTTTCATTGTTTCTTCAAATATAATTTTATATCACCGGGCTCTATTCGTCCAAGACCGATTTCGAAGGAGAGTTTACATGAATTTTTTTAAATTAAAATTATGTTGTTTTAAAGAAACTTTTTTTAAAAAATAAATGGATTTTTAACCGAGATGATTTGAATCCTGAATCAACTCAAATTGGGAGAAACCAGATGAACTTTTCCCTCTCTTTTTAAGCTTAACTAATTTATATATCGAGTTGGCTACAGGTAACAAATGTTATTCTTAACCACAAGCTACAGGTAACAAAACCATGTGATAAACACACAACTCATTATCAAACTAACTCAACTAAAATTATAAATTAATTCTCTCGTTTTGTAAAAAAAATTAAGTAGCTCTTCTAGTTAATTTGTGCCAAATAAAAATTGTTAAATAATAATCTAACTAATATTTTCTTATAATTAAACACTCTTTGACATAGTTATTTTTTACATATTTAAAAGTTTGTGATTTTGGTTGGACTTTATACTAAATTAAGTTGAGTTGTAATTAATGAAGATGATTTTAGAATCCTTCTTATTATGAATAAATTCTATTGTTCCCTAGTTTTTTTTTTTTTGAGTAACAGAATGAAGTATTCTCATTTTCTTTGAAAATTAAAGAATTAAAAACTCATCTATATAAATTTAATAAATTCCTTCATTCTCTTTTCTACTCACCAACTCTTTTTTTGCTTTTCTTTTTTAAATTCAAGAAAGGCACTTTTTACTTAACCAAAAAGTTGTTTTCTTAGGAATCGTTGGGTTAATATATATTTTAACAATTTCCTTTTTCTTATTAAGAGAATGAAATTCGGACGTCATAATTAATCAACTTGAGAAGAACGTTGGCACGATATTTGGAAAAGTCACTGTAACAATCCTTACTTTGTAAGGAAAGCTACACTGATATCCCTACATTTTTTAGCTTTGTCTTGTAATCATAATATGCTGTCAAGAGTCGATTGATGTCAAATCAAAATACAACATCAAAGTCTGTATGATTAAGTATTCCATTATGTGTTGAAGAGCGAGCAACATTGTTTCAAGGCTGAGCCGGTCATGCAAGTTTGTGAGCAACGGCATAATCCTGGTGCTGTGAGCCAACTTCATAGCAAAACAGAAGAAATTGCCCATGTGAATAGTGATCTTGACATTTCCAGTGTTCCTCAATTTCGCGTAATCTAAACTATATAATAATATAATCTTGCGTATTATGTAATGGGTTGCCCATTTTTAGGTGAAATGGCTACTTCTGTAGAAAGGAACCTTATATCACTTATTATCAACTTTCAACTGGTACGTCCATCATGGTTTTTCAGCAGTACCCTCTTTAGAGTAATTGGCTGGGTCAAACTTCATGTCTATTTTACGAAGGCCGTCTTCTTCATCCTTGGTGATGTATCCTGATCATGTTCTGCTAATTAGTCTTACTTGAGTGGAGATTAACATGCTCATCAAGCTTTGTTTCAAAATGTTTTTAGGTTTGATTTCTAGCCACAGCTTCGTAAACAATGCTCTGTGTTTCTGTGGATGGATTACTTCATTGATCTGGGGCAATCGCTTCCACTAACTACTATTGCTATGAATGTTCAAGAAGGGTTATATATCATTTGCACTTTTCTCATTGCTAACATAGCCGATGCCTACACAGGACCTTATAAAACAATAGTTTTCAACACTGCTTCATATGCATTCGTAAGTCGCTCTCTCTCTCTCTCTCTATATATATATATATATATATATATATATATATATGCTTGAAGTTTCACTCTATTCTTATAGTTGAATTTGTATGCAGTTTGTTTCATATAAATTTAATACCCTTTGAAAATAAAAATCAATAGAAAATATTGAAAACCTGGTCTAGCTTATTCAAGAAAATCTAGTCAATGAAAATCATTTTAGATGTGGAATTTTTCTTTTATGTTGTCAACTGTTTTCTAGAGCTGTCCATCTTTTTTATCATCTATAGGTGAAATAGTTTTTCTTTGAATATAACTAAAAAATAAATTATTTAATATTTATATTAAATTTGAATTAATACATTCATCTTAGAAACTTCTGATTTAATTATTATTTGGTTCAAATTAAAAATCAACCTGTATGAAAATTATCTCAACTTGATCTAATTAACTTAATCAGTTAAAAAATAACTCAAACAACCACTAAAATAAAACTAGGATAAAAATAAAAAAATAAAAGATATAATGAAAAAAAAAAAAGAGAAAAAAAAAAGAATATGAAATAAAAAAGGGAGTCACAGTGGAGGAGGAGTGAGTCGCACCCCAACTTTTTTAGTATAGTAATCCTTGTAACTTTACATAAGTTATTGAGTTCATATTATCAAAAAAAAAAAAGAGGAGTTATTGAGTTCATATATTATTTGAGTTTCCAGCTTAAAAAATTCTTGTAAATGCTAAAAAGTTGATATTCTCCGTCAACACTAGCAATTATATGACAAATTTAGGCGAATAGTATATAAATTAGCTTTTATTTGTTTGGTTTTCAAATGAAAACAGCTATAACGAATTTTCTTTTTTAATATTCCTATTATTTTCGATCGATTTTTTAGTGCTTTAATTTATAGTCATTAATTTGCAACAAATTAAACGTCCATTTTGCTGCAGGGACTGTTGCTATGGTTTCTTGCTAGCCGGTTCTGGGGCAATTCATCCTCCACCGGGATTATACTACTTTATCTGATGATGGTACTAGCAACTGTGGGCAGGGCAAGTCAGGATCCTTGTTTAAAAGCATTTCTACGTGATCAATTAGTCGAGCATAAACCTAACCTTAACGCAGATAAGGACCAAGCTGACGAGGTACCTAGTAAGCCAGACATCAGTATAGATTATGACAAAGCTGAGGTTCGAAGAAAATTTTGGTGGCGTTTTGCTTCTACGGTGGGCACTGTCTCGTCTGTGATAGTGGTGATAATGGCCAGAGGTTCTGATAGTCATCAGAGAATGATGACTTCTGCAATTTCATTTTCGGTTATGGCATTGGCTGGTTTAACCTTTGCGTTAGGAAAAAGCTTTTACTACTCCGACAAACCAACTGGAAGCCCTCTTTTCGTTATTTATAGAGTTCTTAAGGCAGCTTTTGTGAAGCGTCACCTGCAACACGCTCGTGAACCCAATGACTACTATCTAAATGATAGTGGTGGATTGCTTCTATTGCCCGACATTGGAATAATCAGGTTGGTGTAGTATTGTGATTCCCGTAGCCCATTTCAATGGGTTATGGGAATTTGGATGAGATATATAAAGTGTTTATGGATCTATATGCCACCATGATTTCCCTTTGGGTAGGGGGGAGAACAAGTCCAACTTAGAATTGCATGTGTAAGCCTTGTAGTTGCAAACCAGGCCCTTCCCCAAGGTCCAAGTAGTGACAGTACTATCACTTTTTCTTTCCCTATATCTCCTCTGCTCTCTTTCTTTTCTTTTCTTTTCTGATCTGATCTTCTGAGGTGGTGTACACAGGTGGCTGGACAAAGCTGCTCTTTTAGAGACATCCGAGTCCCTCTCAGCTGAAGAACAGGAGCAAAACGGGAGACTTGAGCATCGAACATCGACATAGATTTTTTTTTTCTTTTTTTTTTTCATAGATTTTTTTTCTTTTTGCAAAAATAAAATGCTTTTCAAAATAATTTTTCATTTGAAAATATATTAAAACAAATTTTTATCTTTCACATCAAAAAATAAAAAAATAAAAAAAATTAAAGAATACTAATTTAATTTTTTAAAACTAAAAACACTTTTAAAAAAACACCATACATAATATACACTAAGCCTCAGATCCACTAAAAATAAGTTTATTAACCAAGAAGGGAATCTTGAACTCCTATAACCAATAATTACAAGACAATGCATATTTATATTAGGTTTTAGTTGATGAAGCAGACGTTTATCAAGAGAACCATATGAATTATTGTTCTATCTGAAATCTAACTTTCTGAGATCCCTAATGCCTTCCAAATTAGCTCGTAAAAAGTCTTGGGCATTGACAATATTTTAAAGCATCCAAGGACAAAGTTTTTCCTCTAGGCATTTGAGCTCTCATATCTCCTTTATGCTAAATCCATTTTGTTTACCCATAAAAAAATCAGTCAAAGTTTGAAGTTTAGGTAATTTACCCATTTGACGCGTCATCCATTGCAGTCTTGTGCTTTTAATATTGAGATGATACAAGTTTGTTAGATTCATCAGGTTGGTTGGCAACTCAACAAGATTCTTACACCAATGCAAGATTAGTATCCGCAAGTAGTGCAAAGTATATACAATTTCAGACAACATGTGTTCTGATGATTATGAGAGGTTTACATACTATAGTTGTTTCAAGCTGTCAATTGAGGTAGACAACTTACTTACATGGAGCAAAGATAATATACAAAGATGCTAGAATCTTCTCAAAAAGTTAGTGATTTCCTCATCATTCATGTTTGCCAAAACTAACTTTGATATTAACAAAATTATATGCAAATTTTGTATTTCATCAAGGCCTACAAGATTGTCTCGATCTTCAGATTTAGTTCTTGCATACAACAAGTGACGAGTCTTCTTAGAAACCTTCCAAGAATCACCATCATCTAAACAAACAACAAACTCTCCATACATAAATTTTGCCAAGTCATTTGTGAGGTTAAGCTTGACGAATAATGGTGAGTTCACTTATCTGTTGAAAAAAGGACATTGATACGAGATCTTTAAAGTACCTGTATCCTATTTCTTTGATCTCTTTATTTCCCTCTGATGGTGAAAATAACCCAGTTTTTTCATTTCCTTCAGTAAGGAATCTAAGGAGTAACACGATTGAACTATGAGACTGTACCGGCAGAAGTCAATGTCTCTAATATCACCATATGAGGATGGTCATTTGAAGAGTCCTTTAAAGAGATTTTGTTAATGGTTAGAGGTCTCGGGAGCGAAAGCACAAACTGTGAACATTTTGTAATTGTGAGTTCTTTTAAAGAAGGAAGGTGGCTGGGTAGGGTTTTCTTTAATTTACAATATTGACTTATGCAAAGCACTTGGAGGCGAGGAAAAGCTTTCTATTCACTTTTAGCAACATTACAAAATTAGTCATACCATTATGGCATCCTCTCAAAAGTCAAGCTCTCGAGTGATTTGAATGCAATGATTTTAGAAATGCAATTTCCATAAAACTCACAACCTATACTCTTGACTTTGTCGAATGCTTGGATCATAAGTCTTTTTAGATATGCTAAATGACAGAGTGGTGGTAGGAAGGAACATTGGCATTCACTAAGCCTTAGATCCACTAAAAAGGGAATCTTGAACCCCGATAACTAACAATTACAAGACAATGCACATTCACATTAAGCTTTAGTTGATGAAACACGCGTTCATCAAGAGAACAATATGAATCATTGCTCCATCTAAAATCTAACTTTTCGAGGTCCTTGATGCCTTCCAAATTAGCTCGTAAAGAGTCTTGAGCATTGACAACATTTTAAAGCATCCAAGTATGAAGTTTTCCCTCTAGGCATTTGAGCTGTCATATCTCCTTTATGCTGGATCCATTTGGTTTACCCATAAAAAAAACAGTCAAAGTTTGAAATTTAGATAATTTACCTATTTGACGCATCATCCGTTGCAGTCTTGTGCCTTCAATATCGAGATGATACAAGTTTGTTAGATTCATCAGGTTGGTTGACAACTCAACAAGATTCTTGCACCAATGAAAGATTAGTACTCGCAAGTTGTGCAAGGTACATATAGTTTCAGACAACATGTGGTTCGATGATTCTGAGATGTTTACATACCATAGTTGTTTCAAGGTGCCAATCCAGGTAGGCAGCTGACCTACATAGAGCAAAGATAATACATGAAGATGCTGGAAGATTCTTAGAAAGTTAGTGATTTCCTCATCATTCATGTTTGCCAAAACCAACTTTCATATTAACAAATTATACCCAAATTTTGTACTTCTTCAAGGCCTACAAGATTGTCTCAATCTTCAGATCTAGTTCTTACATACAAGAAGTGACGAGTCTTTCTAGAAACTTTCAAGAATCACCATCATTTAAACAAACAACAAACTCTCCATACATAAATTTTGCCAAGTCATTTGTGAGGTTATGGAATCCATTGACACCATTCTAGCATCCTCTCAAAAGTCAAGCTCTCGAGTGATCTGAATGCAATGCTTGTAGAAGTGCAATTTCCATAAAACTCACAACCTACACTCTCGACTTTGTCGAATGCTTTGATCATAAGTCTTTTACATATGCTAAATGACCGAGTGGTGGGAGGAAGGAACACTGGCATTCACTAAGTCATAGATCCACTAAGAATGGGTATATTAACCAAGAAGGGAATCTGGAACCCCGATAACCAACAATTACAAGACAAAACACATTCACATTAGGCTTTAGTCGATGAAGCACGCGTTCATCAAAAGAACCATATGAATCATTACTCCATCAGAAATCTAACTTTCTGAGATCCCTCATGCCTTCCAAATTAGCTCGCTAAGAGTCTTGAGCATCGACAACATTTTAAAGCATCCAAGTATGAAGTTTTCCCTCTAGGCATTGAGCTCTCCTATCTTTTTTATGCTGGATCCATTTTGTTTACCTATAAAAAACTTAGTCAAAGTTCAAAGTTTAGGTAATTTACCCATTTGACGCGTCATCCATTGCAGTCTTGTGCCTTCAATATCGAGATGATACAAGTTTGTTAGATTCATCAGGTTGGTTGGCAACTTAATAAGATTCTTACACCAATGCAAGATTGGTATCCACAAGTTATGCAAGGTACACATAGTTTCAAACAACATCTGTTCTGATGATTCTGAGAGGTTTACATACCATAGTTGTTTCAAGCTGCCAATCAAGGTAGGTTGCTTTCCTATAAAAATCAGTGAAAGTTTGAAGTTTAGGTAATTTACCAATTTGACGCGTCATTCGTTGAAATCTTGTGCCTTTAATATGAAGATGATACAGGTTTGTTAAATTCATCAGGTTATTGGCAACTCAATAAGATTCTTGCACCAATGCAAGATTTGTATCAGCAAGTTGAGCAAGGCACACACAGTTTGAGACAACATGTGGTCCGATGATTCTAAGAGGTTTACATACCATAGTTGTTTCAAGATATCAATCGAGATAGAGAGCTTACCTAAATGGAGCAAAGATAATACCCGAAGATTCTGGAATCTTCTCAAAGAGTCACTGATTTCGGCATCATTCATGTTTGCCAAAACCAACTTTGATATTAACAAAATTATATGCAAATTTTATACTTCATCAAGGCCTACAAGTTTGTCTCGATCTTCATATCTAGTTCTTGCATATAACAAGTGATGAGTCTTATTAGAAACCTTCCAAGAATCACCATCATCTAAAGAAACAACAAACTCTCCATTCATAAATTTTGCCAAGTCATTTATGAGGTTATGCTTGATGAATAATGGTGAATTATTACTTATTTGTTGAAAAAGGACATTGATACAAGATCTTTAAAGTACCTGCATCCTATATCTCTGATCTCTTTATTTCCCTCCAGTGGTGAAAATAACCTAGTTTCTCCAATTCCTTCAGTATAGAATCTAAGGAGTAACACGATTGAACTATGAGACTGTGCCCGCCAGAAATTAATGTCTCTAATTTCACCATATGAGGATGGTCATTTGAATAGTCTTTTAAAGATATTTTGTTAAGGGTTATAGGTCTAGGAAGTGAAAGCACAAACTGAGAACACTTTCTAATTTTGAGTTCTTTTAAAGAAGAAAGGTGGCCGGGTAGAGTTATCTTTAATTAACAACCTTTACTTATGTAAAGCACTTGCAGCTGAGGAAAAACTTTCTATTCACTTCCAGCACCATTATGAATCCATTGACACCATTCTGGCATCCTTTCAAAAGTCAAGCTCTCGAGTGATCTGAATGCAATGCTTGTAGAAGTGCAATTTCCATAAAACTCACAACCTACACTCTCGACTTTGTCGAATGCTTTGATGATGAGTCTTTTTACATATGCTAAATGACCGAGGGGTGGTAGGAAGGAACACTGGCATTCACTAAGTCATAGATCCACTAAGAATGGGTATATTAACCAAGAAGGGAATCTGGAACCCCGATAACCAACAATTACAAGACAAAACACATTCACATTAGGCTTTAGTCGATGAAGCACACGTTGATCAAGAGAACTATAAGAATCATTACTCCATCAGAAATCTAACTTTCTCAGATCCCTCATGCCTTCCAAATTAGCTCGTTAAGAGTCTTAAGCATCGACAACATTTTAAAGCATCCAGGTATGAAGTTTTCCCTCTAGGCATTGAGCTCTCCTATCTTTTTTATGCTGGATCCATTTTGTTTACCCATAAAAAACTCAGTCAAAGTTTGAAGTTTAGGTAATTTACCCATTAGACGCGTCAACCATTGTCGTCTTCTGCCTTCAATATGCAGATGATACAAGTTTGTTAGATTCATCAGGTTGGTTGGCAACTTAACAAGATTCTTACACCAATGCAAGATTGGTATCCACAAGTTGTGCAAGGTACATATAGTTTCAAACAACATCTGTTCTGATGATTCTAAGAGGTCTACAT